GAACGGACTAACACACTAACACACAAGAGCGATCACATAACCTCCTCCAACTCCGTTGGGCGGAGGTAACAATGTTGTTAAACGGTCAGAGGCAGAGTAGAATATGCAATACATAGAATCAAGTACATAACACCACTCAATACTCTACTATATTGTATTTATATACTCATGATAGAATACAAGTTTAAACTTTTACCTGTTGGAATGGATCAAGAGAGTCGTCGCTTGACCTCTGATAGGACCACGAGCCTGCGATCGCCATGGCAACGTTCTGGTTGATGGGATGCGTTTGGCTGCCTGGAAGGTGGTCAGCGCCATCTGCTGGCGGAGCCTGGAGTCCCTTTGCGGAGAGCGATGCGTCGTGGAGTTGACAGAGAGAGTCCATGACTGCAAGTGTCAAACACACATGATATCACAGAAACCCGCAGATATCTGCAGAGCTATTGACTTCGCGCGAGAAAACCGAGCGAAAAAACTTAAATACCGTTAATTAGATTGTCGAGCTGCACCAGTTTACACGCAGTTTTCACGCACGCACAGCAAAATTTGAACTTCGATGCACTTCGTTGCCTAGCATTGTCTTTTAGAACAACCTACCTTAATGCCAATTGGCTGTCAAAGCTAACGATGCGAATCGTTCCAGGGAGAATGGGTCAATCGACCCCCCGGGATTCGTAGGATTTTCTCCTGACACTTGACCCCCCCGAACACCTCGCATCGGGACGCGACCCCCCCATGACCCCGCGACGTCGAGCGGTCGCGCGTACCTATGCTGAGCAGCGGCAGGTAGAGGGCAGCGACGCGGTTCTTGCACTCGGGCTCGCTGTAGCGCGGGTCCGAGTCGTGGCAGGTGAGCAGGTTACGCACGAGATTGATCGCTCGGTTGTGCACGCTCGAATTCCTGCGAGAGACGAGAAGAAGCAAGGGGAATTGTGTATGTACCTGTATATTTAATCAGGCAATTTTTTTTTCAATATTTTGTTGCTTTTTAAAGTTTCCCAACTCCATGAACAGAAGAGAAACTCAGCAGTAGTGCGAATACAGACCACAGTAGTTCATTAATATTTAATTTCATTCCCTAATTAGTTAACTACTAATTACTACTACTATATCATTACTACTCACTATATCTAGCACATCAACCACTGTAGTAAGGTGATCGACCCCTGACAGCTTCACTAATTACATCGTGTTATTAATCGCAAACGATACAGAGATCGAGGAATGAAGGTACAAGGAGTCGTTTGATGACGGTACATCCGCGCAACTAGTCTTGTTCGCGCATGGGTGCAGGGGGCGCCGGCGAGCTTACATGCCATCCAGGGCGCTGGAGAGGTCCGACAGAACGAGTCCGACGAGATAGTGCTGCTGCTTGTAGTCTAGTGTCAGCTCCGCAAAGTTTCCGCTATCCCTCTGGGCGCTCAGCGTGGACAGAGCCGAACCTGCTACACAGACGATTACTCGTACAAGTTCCCGCTATCCCTCTGGGTGCTCAGCGTGGACAGAGCCAAACCTGCTACACAGGTGATTACTCGTACAAGTTCCCGCTATCCCTCTGGGTGCTCAATCCCGCTATCCCTCTGGGTGCTCAGTGTGGACAGAGCCGAACCTGCTACACAGGTGATTACTCGTACAAGTTCCCGCTATCCCTCTGGGTGCTCATGTGGACATATTCCATAATATACAACTAATTTCATAATAACAATCTATAAGATAAAAAATAACAATCCATGAGAAACTTGCTCCACTAAGAATTACATAATAAACTTCACCATATCAGGAAGTGTGTGCAGGTGTGTGCGTGCGTGCGTTAGCTGCTGGGTACCTGACTGAGAGCTGGCGATGCTGGGTGCGTGGGCGTGTGTGCGTGGGCGTGCGTGCGTGTGTGTGCGTGCGTGGGCGTGCGTGCGTGCGTTAGCTGCTGGGTACCTGACTGAGAGCTGGCGATGCTGGGTGCGTGGGTGAGTGGGTGCGTGTGTGCGTGCGTTAGCTGCTGGGTACCTGACTGAGAGCTGGCGATGCTGGGTGCG